GCACAAGTATAGAACAAATTATGCAGAAATCGCACGGCATATGGAATGGTATTCGGATCCTGAGCATCGGGAGGGATTAAATACAGCATCCTTCATGTACCAGTTCTGGCGTTGCCAGACCCCGGTCGTCCTTTTTGTGTCGTCTGTGACGCATCCAAATTTGCCATTGGCTGTGCACTGCTGCAAGCAGACGCCGAGTGGCGAGATCAATTGATCTCGCTCGAATATCGCCAGCTTTACTCTGAGAAGCAGAACTCCCAATCCACGACAAGATACTTCTTGCGATGAAGTATGCACCTGTCAAGTTCAGGGTGCATCTGTTTGGCTCATAGCCGTCTGTGATCTACACATATCATGTGTCATAAAGCACTGCGACTCAGTCGCCTTAAATCTCGCAGAGTGGCTCTCATTATATGCAGAGTATAACTCCGAGGTGGATTTTAAGCGAGGAAAGCAGAATGCCTTGGCTGATACGTTGTCATGCAGATCGGGTTATGTGACGCTCATGTCATGACGGTAATGTCGTCAGTGCCGGATTTGATCCGCGCCGCATAAGTGTGTAATAGTAAGTGTGTAGCGCTAATACTGCTCTCGGGGACAAGGAGTCTGTGAAACTCGGACAAGAAATTGTCGGCCGCCGATATTCGTTGAGTAACAAATTGCTGTATTATAGCACCGATTCAGCGGATACGCCGCAAATTGTGGTTTCTCACGATGAGGATAAAGTATACTGTATTCTCTATGAGGCCCACGCACCCCATTTAGTGGTCATCTGGATCGTGAGAAGACGTACAGCTTGGTGAGAAGCCACTATTGATGGTCTAAGCTGCACGAGGGGACGAGCATATACGTGCCCACGTGTCAGACGTGTCAGAGGGTGAACCCTCTTCAAATGCGGCGGCGCCGCTGGCCAATTTACCGGTACACTCCGGGCTCTAACAGTCCAATAGTATGGACCCTATGTATGGCCTGCCGAAGGATTCGGTAGGCAGCATAAATGTAGTGGTCTTTGTGGACTATCTGAGCAAGATGGCTCGTCTTGCCGCACGACCGGACACCATCGACGATGTGGGTACAGCGACGCTGTTTGTAGCTCGTGCCTTTCGACAACAGGAGTCGATCTCTGGTAGAGACCCGTGCTTCACTGGGAAGTTTTATATACAATCTTCAGGGTGCTAGGCACCAATTTCATAATGTCAACAGCGGACCATCCACAATCCGATGGTCATACTGAGCGTGTGAATAGCGCTGTTAAGGACATTATTCGCTGTGTCTGTGCTGAGATGCCAAAGCGTTGGAGCACTATGTTGCCAGTCGTAGAGTTCGCTCTGAACATTGCAGTGCATTCATGTACCGGCTATACGCCGTTCGACGTGAACATATCTGCTAATTCTCGCGTCCCGCTGACGCCACGATCCCATAGATCAGAGCTTGGTGGGGAGGATAAGCTGAATGGCTAGCTGATGTTAGCCCCCTCACTGTACGAAAAGAAGCCGGAAACTTCCTGTCTACAAGACGTAGCGTCTTACGACACGTTAAGGATGCGATGGCTGAAGGCCAAGACATGCAGAAAGATATGCAGATGGAAGATCAGAAGAATTGTGAAAAACTTTGAGATCGGAGACTTGATTTTATTACGTGCTTAAAACCTTCCTATCTTTAAGGTCGTTACTAAGCAAGGCCTTGCGTATACGCCCAATCTTCCGAAAAGGATGCGCACCCATCCGGTGTTTTATGTGGGCATGTGGGTATGCTTAAGCCGTACCCGTAGTGAACGCAGAAGCGTTGGAATCGAAGCGGCGCTTGCAAGTTCCCCAATATCCAGAAGCTAAACAAGCAACTGGTTTTGAGCACAACTTCCATCTCCAAGTACGCCAGGCGCTCCACCGTCGCACGAAGCGACGTATTCGTCTTCTCTGTGGCTATTAGCCGCTCTGACAGAGCGCAATAATCCTCAACGTTAGGCAGTCGGTGCACGAAGTCCTCCAGGCTCTCGAAGCCTTCCGCACAGCGGTAGGCGAACTCAGTAAGATGCTCGGCAGAGTGCGGATGACGACGGACTCAGTCCCTCCAGGCTCAAAGAGCATCTTGAGTCACCGGACGGCGATCGACCAAGTCTTCATAGCCCACCGCCGAATCTTCTCGACGAGATGTGACGTCCACTATAACGTGTAACGCCATGTGGGTCGACATCGTCTACAGGGTCGAGCCCAATATCTTGTGAATTGGCGGGGATGTCCAACTTTCAAGGGTTTGTGGGAGATTAAGTTGTCACTTCGGCAAGACTAATCAGACGTCGTGGCCGCTTATGATTGGAAGGATCATGAGGCTTTGCGTCGTCGTTTGCACTGCGCTTCTCGGTAGTAGCTTCGAAAGCCGGAGGGCCATAGGCTGAGCTCAAGCTGTGGTCCTGAGCTGCTGTGGTCGTAGACTCACCCGTGTGGTACACCACAGATCTCGCGGAAGCGTTATGGATTATTCCAAGTGTCACCACGCAGATATTCGGCGTTGCGCCTTGAGTTTGGCAAGCTCGAATAAAAGATGGCACTTTACGCGCACGTCCACTACCTTGTGGATCCGCTGTAAGATATACAGCGAGGAAAGTTTCCAGTGTTGCTGCACCCATCGCTCAAAGAGCTACTCATCATCTACAGCAGTTTTGCCAGGGTCGAGCACCACAGGAATAGACCGCAGTGCGGGTGCAGAGGCGCCTCCCTTTAGAGCTCGAAGTCGTGCTCGGTACCGATCCGTTGGGTTATCTTGTGGTACCAAAATGCGGGTTCGGAGAGCTATTTGCTGGTCACATCGCTTACATTTATTATTTGGTGGCTGCTTTTACGCAAAGAAGGTTGAGATCCAAATGCTGCAGCCATTAAAGCATCATAACATTATCCACATTGAAAATGTCCTTATATCCGATTGTAAGATCTGCCTGGTAGGTTTGCACAAAAAAAAGTTACATGCTGCGAGGTAAATAAGGTCGTGGTACATCATTACAGGTTTCGGAGTACATGGGTGAGGCGAATCATTCGACTATGTTGTTGATAGGGGAAGGTTGTCTGAGGTTGAAGCAAGCAGCATCGTCCGCCAGATCACGTCGGCTGCGGCCTATTTCGGGCGACGGATTTTATCTTCGTGGAGTCGGAGGAAGTCGACCACAATTCGGATACTCCTTTCCCAAAATGGGAAGACGAGAAGGATAAGGTGCGTCAATCGCGCGACGTGAGCCCAGCTCAAACCTTGCGGACACCGTGTCCATTTTTCAACATTTCGACTCCTGGGGGAAGTGGTATTCTTACCAATCGTCTCGACGAGGCAAAAAAGCAGCAATTGGAGGCTGCTTACAGGGCGGCTCTCATGCGCTCGTATCCACGTTCGGTCTAAGACTCTCGTGAGGAGTGCGGCTTCCGCTCGACAGATTTCTCTACTGAAGCGAAAGACGCAATGTCTCGATCGTTAGGCGTCTACGTAGTCGGGCCCCCGACAACTAGTCAAGCTGAACTTATGTGCACACAACGGGAATTGAACCTGGCTTCTTCCGCTTGCAAAGCGGACGCGCTTCCACCGCGTTATGTGCCCAGCTTTAGTAACTTTTTACCAGATAAAAAAAATGTTCTCCCATAGTAAGCTAATTATGATACCACCATATCGTAAAACACGGCATTGGGCCATGTGTAATAAAGAAGCGCATGATATAGAACGAAAACATGCATGATTCTTGTTAAAAAGAAGTCACTGCAATCCGTCCGGCCGTTTGTGATAGCATACCTCATCGTTCTATTTATGTCACAAGCAAACCCATAAGTAAGATCATATAAAGATTTTGGACGTGTCGTAGTCGACAATGTACGGAGTTCATGTTTCACATCAAAACACTCGATATCAAAGGCTTTGACCATCTCCCAGATACGATTTAGAGAAGTGGCATCACAATCAGGGATGACATGCAAGTTCAGTGCTGTCGTGAGTTTTAGAAGTTCGCTTCTGTTTCCAAAAAGCATACTATGGGGTTGTGGCCTTAGTCTCCAGTCAGCAACTTTCCTTGCACAAATATAGCGCAAGTTATGCGAAATGTCACATTTCCTTAAAAAGGATAACGAACTGTGTTGGGATACCAAGCATCGGAAGGATTCTGACAGGGCCAAAGACAGCCTCCTTAATGTACCAATGCTGGAGTTGCCAGACCCCGATCGCTCTTTTTAGTGTCATCTGTGACACTTCGGACTTTGCCATCGGCTGTGCAATGCTGTAAGCAAACGCCGAGTGGCAAGATCGATTGATCGCGTTCGAATATTGCCAGCTAATGGCTGCGGAGATGAAGTACCCAGTCCACAACAAGGATCTACTTTGCGATTTAATATATACCCAATTATATTGTAAAACCTAATTAGTATAGTAATATGTATTATTAGCGGTAATCCTGCCACGTAATGGCTTCTTGTTGTGGTGTAGCCACACCAATGTGTCAAAACACCCATTTGTGTAATATACACCAATATATGGATATGGTCACACTATCTTGTGCGACCTGCTCTTTCCTACAAGATAACGTGAAACCCCGTCACACTCTCCTATGAAAATTGTTAATATACCCAATTCACATTGATCAGACGCCTCATACGAGGCTCGTGTGTCTGAGACGCCTTCACGCTCTGAAAACCAACTTAAAATATTCTTTGCTCTACGAGCCCTGTGTTTGCGACACACAAAAAAAAACAGCCTAGCTGGTTCTGAGGGCGCTCGCGGGTAAAGCTCTGCACAGGGTGCACCTCCAGACAGTAGGTTTGCGGCATCACGGAAAGCACATCCCAAGCCGTCGGCAATCGAGCTCAACACATCGCGCCTGATCCAAGAGATGTGCAAACATGTCGTAACCCAATGGAATTGATTGAAAATCAGTTTCGTAATAACCAGGACTACATTCGTAAATTGTTTGTTCAAAGTACTATTTTAGAAAATTAGACTGTCGTACTCTCATTTTCAATCCATGCACCATCCCCTTTGATTTTGTGTAACCAAATCGGATGTTAGTCTTGTTACTAGATGT